GTGCGCGCCTGTAGTTCCAGCAACTTGGAAGGCTGAGGTGGAAGGATTGCCGGAGCCCAGCAAGTCGAGGCTGCAGTGGCCAGGAGTGGCCAGTGCACTCCAGTCTGGGCGACAGAGTGAGACTCCAACTCAAAAAAATAAAAATAAATAAATAAATAATAAATAAATAAATAAAACATTCTGGCCAGGCACAATGGCTCACTCCTATAATCCCAGTACTTTGGGAGGCAGAGACAAGAGAATTGCCTGAGCTCTGGGCTTTGAGACCAGCCTGAACAACTTTGCAAGAACTCGTCTCCACAATAAATCAAAAAAATTAGCCAGATGTGGTGGCACATGCTTGTGGTTCCAGCTACTTGGAAGGCTGAGGTAGAAGGATCACCTGATCCCAGCAGGTTGAACCTGCAGTGGCCATGAGTATGCCACTGTACTCCAGCCTGGGTGACAGAGTGAGACTGACTCAAAAAAAAAAAAAAATCTGCACCAGGGAGGGTGGGACCTGCCTGTAGTCCAAACTACTTGGGAGGCTGAGGCAGGAGGATCACTTGATTCTAGGAATTTGAGTCCAGCTTGGGCAACATAGTAAGACCCCAATCTCTAAAAATAATAGTAATTTTTTTAAAAGGTGGATGTGATGGCTCATGCCTGTGATCCCAGCACTTTGGGAGGTAGATGCGAGAAGATTGCCTGAATCCAGGGGTTTGAGACCAACCTGGGCAGCATGGCAAGACCTCGTTTCTACAATAAATTAAGAAAAATTGACTGGAGTTGGTGGTGCATGCCTGTAATTGCAGCTACTTGGAAGGCTGAGGCAAAAGGATCACCTGAACCCAACAGGTCAAGGCTGCAATGGCAGTGAGCATGTCACTGCACTCCCTGGGTAACAGAGTGAGACTCTGACTCCAAAAAAAAAAAAAAAACCTGGTGCAGTTGCTTACACCTGTAATCCCAACTTTTCGGGAGACCAAGGTGGGAAGATTGCTTGCACCCAGGAGCATTAGACCTACCTAGGCGACATAGTAAAAAAATAAAATAATTAGCCAGGCATGGTGGTGCATAGTCTGTATTCCTAGCTACTTGGAAAGTTGAGGCAGAAGGATCACCAGAGCCCAGAAGGTTGAGGCTTCAGTGAGCCACGATCGTGTCACTGCACTCCAGCCTAAGTGGCAAAGTGAGACCCTAACTCAAAAGAAATAAAATTTTTTTAAAGGAACATTTTGAAAACAAGGAAAAGAGCAGCTATTAGAAATAAAAAAACAAGTCTGGGTTCGGTGGCTCAGCCTGTAATCCCAGCACTTTGGAAGGCTGAGGCGAGTGGATTGCCTGAGCCCTGGGTTCGAGACCAGCCTGGGCAACTTAGCAAGACCTCTACAATAACTAAAAAAATTAGCTGTGCATGGTAGCTCATGCCTGTAGTTCAGGCTACTTGGAAGGCTGAGGCGGAAGGATCACTAGTACCCAGCAGGTTGTCACTGGGTTGGCCATGAATGTGCCTCTGCATTCCAGCCTAAGTGACAGAGTGAG